ATTGAAAATTCAATTCTTAAATTCATACGGGATGCGGGATTTGCATCTCACATATGAAAGACCCCGAATACCCCCCTAACTAATTTTTAAAATATTGCGAAAAAAACTCCTCGGCCAGGAGTCGAACCTGGAATCTCCGGCTTACCGTGCCTTATATTATTCCTAGTAAAAATATAGTTTTATATAATTTTTTGTATCTAACATGATACTAATAGAGCTATTTTGTAATTTTATATGGAATATCTCTGAAGCCATTATCTTAAAAAAGAAATTCTTCGTGTATAAAATTGTATGGACATATTCGGCATATAAATTTGCATAATTAGATATTATTATTTTAATTTGTGTATAAGTATATATAAAACATTTTTTACCGGGTATATCTTGGTATATTCTTATTTTATTTTTTTATTATATTTTATTATATTTTTTTATTTTATCTTTATATTTATATTTTCACTTTTGTTTTTTTCTTACGTTGTAGTTAAAATGTTTTCGGCAGATAATCGACTTCATCGCGCGTATATCTTCTTCTTCTGATAGTTGTTCTTTCTTCTCCTCCTCCTCTGATTTGATGTCGGTAGATGAAGCTGCAGATTGTATCGTGCTGATTTTATCGCTGACGAAGCTACTATCGAGTTGTTCTTCTTCCTCAAGTACAACGCTGTTTAGGTTAGATTTAACCAGCGTTTTAATCGAAAAACATTAGGTAGAGCGCAACTGTTATTTACACTTCATTGTCTGAAACAATTAATATATATATATATATATATATATATGTTCTATTTTCTCGACATTTCTTATCATAATGTTTTAAATATTTAAATAGTTTTACTTATCAAAATCAGCAGGAAAAGCAGCTACAAGAGAAGCAGGAGAAAGCTCAGCTTCTTCTCTACGCGCTCTTCCTAAACTTTAAAAACATTAGTTAATATATTTTTTCTTTTAGCGTTAATAATTCCTGTTTTACTTATACTTACGCAAAGGAGGCTTGTTTGCTTTTTCTTCTCGAATCGCCTCTAGTCTTGGAGGAAGGCAATGCCGCATTGGCGCTACTCGTGCTATCAGCCGAGGTTCTGTACAAGCACGACGGGGTACAAGCGACGTCGCGTTTCGCGGCACCTTTTCCACTTCGCTCGCATCCTGCTGCTGCTGCTGCTGATGCTGTTATTGAGGAGCAACAGCAAGACGAGATATTAACGCCTCCGGTGTTTGCACTATCTTCGGCTCGACACTTTTGTTCGCTAAAATCAGAATTACTTGCTCATTATATCTATCGAAATTTTTAAGCGTGCAAACTTACAAGATTATAAAAATTTGTTACTTACCGTCATCTATCATGCGCGCGACTAGTCCACGCACATCTTCCTCCTTGTGGAACGTGTTCTCAAACAAGATGCGAAAGTTTACCACTTCGCACGTAATATGCAGCAAGCGGCGATCTTCATTAAAGAATTTTACGGCATGCATTGACGCGAGAAGTGAGTTCGATACGCGATATGCGAAGTTTCTAAATATTTCAATGTTATCCTTATCGTTTGCTATATATAGCGTTAGTCCGTGTAAATTGTCTAATGAGGGATCACACTGTATCGCGAATGTAATAATATCTTTAATATCACTTGCGGACATCTTTTTAATAAAGATATTTAAACTGCGCTTAGAAAATAGTACTTAGATAAAAACCGAGATAAAAACTCACTGAAGAACAACGAGTAAAGAGAAACTCAGAGAGAACTCACTGAGGAACACTATGACACTCTGAACGTAGACTATGTTTCGTTCTCGTTGTGGCAGAAGTTTTAGCGTGCGGACCTTAGTGCGGACTTTTTACTTACATTGACTTTTTCAGGAAGTTTAATATTACATCAAAATGGACTGTCATACGTAAGATTTGAGTATTTTTTACATCATATTGTTATCCTCTTTGCAACATGGCGTTATTTTGTTTTATATACTGAAGAAGGCTCAAGTAAGGGCCGAAACGTCTGTAATTACATTTATGTGAATTCTATATTTT